GGTGAGCAGCGCCACGCAGATCTTCCTGGCGGTAAGGGCGCCCTGCTCTCCTCCAGCCCACACCGGGAACGGGACACAGGGCTTGCAAGGGTTGCTGGATGAAGAGAGAGGCGAGAATGTTGACCTCATGTTCAGAAGGCTTGATTTATTATTTTATGATATATATATATATATTACATTATAACTATGCTAAAAAGAATAGAGAGAAAAGTTCTCAGAAGGCTAGCTAAGCTAAGAATAGAAAAGGAATGAATAACAAAGGGCTGTGTCTCAGCAGAGAGTGAGACCCAGCTCTGCCGTGAGTGGTCAGTAAATTCAAACATCCATCTGAGATCAATCATGGATCCACCTGTTGCATTCCACAGCAGCAGATAACCATTGTTTACATTTTGTTGCTGAGGCCACAGCTTCTCAGAAAGGAGAAAAATCCTAAAGAAAGGATTTTTATGAAAAGATGTCAGTGACAGGAATGGGACACGCAGGGTTGTAAGAATCTGTGTGTCTTGAGGCTGTTGTATGAGTCCAACCCGGCTGGCTCTGGATTCTGGCCCACACAGTCTGATATAGTAGGAGGCTCAGTAAAATCTATGTATTGTGTAAGTGGCCTTGCCCCAATCCTAGTTCCTCTAAATGGGCGGCAGCTGTGGCTAATGAAGATAATTGGGATAAAAGGGGGGTGGGTTGGCTGGTCAGGGAGAGCCTTGGAGGAGTTCTGGTGAAGAAGTAGGAACAGCACTGGTGTGAAGAGCTGCTTGTGAGAAAACCATCCAGAATGTATGGGACTCTAGAAATATGATAATAACAAGTGGTGACCCCGACGTGATAGAAGATAGGCCAGCCGAGAGCTGTGGAAGAGATTAGGCAGCCTGAGAGTTGCAGAAGATAAGACAGCCAAGAGCTGTGGGGCAGCCTGAGAGCTGTGGAGGTTAAGACAGCCAAGAGCTGTGAAGAAACAGGGCCTTTGAGTAGAGGAGCTGTGACAGCCAGGAGCTGTGAGAAATATGGCCTTTGAGTCAAGGGGCTGTGGAGGTACATGGCCTTTGAGTCATGGTGGGTTATATGTATTGTAATTGTTAAAAGAAAAGGGGGAAAAATAGGTGGCCAATGAATCTTAGTATGTATTGTATAGGTGGCCTTTGAGCCATAGTAAAACCTATGTATTGTATAAGTGGCCTATGAGTCTCGGTAAAATCTATGTATGGTATAAGTGGCCTTGCCCCGATCCTAGTTGCTCTAAATGGGCTGCAGCTGTGATGTCCTTGATTGGGCAGCAGCTCTGGCTAATGAAGATAACTGGGATAAAAGGGGGTGGGTTGGCTGGTCAGGGAGAGCCTTGGAGGAGCCCTGATGAAGGAGCAGGAACAACACTGCTGTGAAGAGCTGTGNAGGGGCAGGGAGCCACCAAGCAGGGACAGGAGGGGAGGGACAAAGGGACAAAGGACACCTGGATGGCCCAATGCCCCCAGGGGTAGAGGGCATCCTTTGGATCTGCCAATCCCTCGATGCCTTCTGGAATTGCAGGAGTGACAGACAGTGCTGGGAGGGGAAAGGAGAGGTGACTGACACACCTGGGAGGGAATCTTCAGGGGAGGGACCCGAGGTTCTGAGGTAAACCCTGAAATCACAGCACAACACCCAATAACCCCAATCCTGCTGGCCATCCACGGACATTCCAGCCTACCCCAACCCGTTATCCATGGAATTCCCAGCCATTCCCACCTGCTCCTTGCCCTCAGCACCCCGGGGGTGCCCAGCCCTGATCCCTGTCCCCTCCCTGCTCTGTTGCAGGTCGCTGCTCTGGAGAGGCAGATCTTTGATTTCCTGGGATACCAGTGGGCCCCCATCCTGGCCAACTTCCTGCACATCATGGCCGTGATTTTGGGGATTTTCGGGACCATCCAGTACAGATCCAGATACCTCATGATGGTAGGTACACCCTGGGGGTGCAGCAGTGTCAGCCCCAGGTCCCTCCTGTATCCCTGGAATCACAGAAGCTGTGGCTGCTCCATCCCTGCCAGCGCCCTGGGCCAGGCTGGACAGGGCTTGGAGTGGGACAGAGGGACTTGGGAGGGCTGGGAATTAGAATTGCCATAGCAGGGGTGGGAATTAGAGCCCTCACAAAGGAAATCCAATGAGAATTTTGTGTTTTATGGATGGGGAAAGTGAGGCACAGTTAGTGGATGCACATCCTCGGGAAAAATTCAGGCAAGAACCTTCCCCACCTCATTAATTCTGCCCTGTAATTAGGGCTCACTAACTCAGCCTGGGATGATGCCTGGGGCCCCCAGGGGTTCTCCCCTGATTGATGAACTTTAAGGTCCCTCCCAGCCCAAAAAGTGCTGTGATTTTGGGATTCCACCATCCCAACCCGGAGCCCCTGGACGGGCTGGGCAGGGCCGG